GGGAAACAGCAAGGTTAATACTATGAAAAGACTACTGGATTCTTATGGTGCAATAAACACAAATTATACTACTAAGGATTTTTTTGTTGTCAAGAAAACTGCAAGTAAAATTTGGAATTAGAAGAGAAACTCATGTTCTTTGTCTGTCTCATGGCCATCACTTTTTAAAGCCCATCAAAACTCATTCTGAGTCTACTACCTGATATGATAAAATTATAGCTTGGGAAAGACCGTAAGCAAGCTGCTGATACAAGACTTGGGGCCTGAAATTCCTTACACTATCCTGGTGCTAGAAGACCCCAGGAACTCGAAGGTTATTTTCATTCTGATGCTGAAATGCAGCAGGAGAAGGATGCTGAAGTAATGCTACTTGTTACCATCAGCATTTTACAGTAACTTAGTTAACTCATTTTGTAAATATATAAGGGTATTAATTTAAGTTTTTCAACTTTATCCATCCTGCAGGAAGAAAAAAGATGGAATACTATCAAAGCTCAATACTAAGGATAAAGCTAGCAAACATTTGATAGATTTAGTATCAGTCACATAAAAGTCAACCGGTTCTCACGAGCAGACCACTACTTCATGGCATAGGAAAACATTTTGCTTAAAAATATCAGTCCCTTGGGAATTCCCATCTTCACAACTACTGTTGTGAAACTACTGTTTACAAAAATTAACTGCTGCTTCAAGATTTGAGCCCCCAATGGATGCTGTACTCTATCAGAGGAAATGTTTCTAGGTTTCACTAATAGCTGCTGAAATTGGAGATTATCAGATGCATTGCACAAAATCTCCTGCAGACAAATCCACAGAGTAGCAATGGGGGAAAAGTTTGTTCTGTCAGAAAGAGTCAAGAACTACTGCCAACACCTTTCAACAAAACATTCATGAGGTAAGATTAATGGAGTTGATATATTAAGAGCCCATCTGGTCTGATATTAACCTGGCACTAAGGGAAAAGATAGATGACATTCTGAGGCATGTATTGGATATGTTCCTCCTCATCCCACTTCCTTAAAATCAGCAAAGAAGGAAAGGCATGACATACCCTGCACCTCTTACAGCATTTTCAATCAAAATAGGCGTAGAATATTTTAACATTCTTACCATGAGATTCCAGTCCAGCTCCCTGTGCCAGGCCGTTATCATAAGACTGAAGAAAAAAACCCCACAAACCAGTTACTTTAGAACCACATCACCTTCACAGACATTGCAATTTCTCAGTTTACTAGCAAAATTATCACCAGACCATAATCACCATTTAACCTGATTAAATTCTGAACTTACGCCTCAAAAAGCTCTTGGCATAAAACAGTTAACAAGTCAGCTTTGTTTCAATGCAGGCAGCTTTTATGACTTTCATGGAGTTCATTTTAGTTGTGACGTATGTTAAAAGTCTGAAAATGGGTAAACGTGTCTTTGCCAAAAAGGGAAAGCATGTGATGCAGATAACCATAAAAGAAAAAGAAAAAAAAAAACCCAAATGCTTTTTTTGTCTTTATAAAAAGAGAAAATGGATATGTAATTCCAAACAAAATTAAATGGATAAATTACATCTGTCTCTAACCCAAAAGCTGGTTAACATACAAAAAGGCAAAATGCAAGGTAATACTGTGTGTAAAGTACTGAAGTACAAGAAATGCTTTAGTAAGAAGCAAGAACATCAGGCTTTAAAAAAAATGAAGATGGGGGGGAACCAGAAGCAGTAACGTAATAAAACATACTATTGGACTAAACTTAACCTGCCCTATAAAATATTACCGTTAAAAAATACTTCAACAATGCTGAAAAATCACTTTGTTAAGTGAAAGAAAAAGGAGAAACTTGAGTCTGACGAACAAAGCACCAAGAATATTATAGTACAGGTCTGTCAGGAGCAATTTAGGAGCAGATGATATTGTGTATGTAGGAACAACAACCTTTCTTCCCCAAAAATTCATTAAATCATTTTGCATTATAAGAAACAAGAGATCACAGTAAGTTATTAATAAAATGGAAAATGTTTATTTTACCAGAGTTCATAGAATACTTAATAAATTATCACTGGACAAATACTAAACTGTTTAGTAGGAACAAAAATGAAGTTTAACTGTTGGAAGCTAAATTACACAGGTCCTACATCTTCTACGTTAACTGCCCAATTAATGATTCGTTCAATATCTGATCAGACAGTTAGAAAGCAATTTTAGCTTCTTCCCGCTCCCCCACCCTCCCCCCGCTGCCCGGTGCTGACTATGAATTTCTCATGTTTTCTCCAAAACATTTAACAGTGGTTAGGAGACACAGCACACCTAGACAGACCACTAATGACTCCCATAGTCCTAACCAAAGAACGGCTACAGGAGCTAGCAGGTCTTTAGGAATGACCTAAGGATTATTTTGTAGATCTGTTTTTAAAGCTGACACTGAGAAGAAAAAAGTAAAGAGAAGCAGACACAGAAGCTACATTAAAACTATATTCCTTGGTTTTTGAGTTGTTGCTGCAAGTTGAAGCAACTAAAAAGACTACCATCTGATACATACACTTCAAGCTGCAGCTTGATACTCTAAAGTTTGAATCAGTCCATTTTAAGTAATCCCTATGAACATCTGAATGTTAAAACACACAGTGTAAACTCTTAGCACTGCCTTTTGAGAATGCAATGCAAATGTGCTACCACACTCCACAGACCCATTAATTGCTAAGCAGAGGCAAGCTGATTAGCAAAGCTATGCTGGCAAAGCTAATTAACTCTACAAACAGTAATTATAAGAGGAGGTAGTTTGCTTTATGTATGACAAAGTAATTAGCTCTGGAGAAAAGCTGTTAAGTGTGCATCCCAGACAGTGTACTATGTTGGGCTGTAAAATTAGCTTGAAATTTTAACAGACAATAGTTGACCTTTGGCTGACTGGTGGCTATTTATTTACAGAGAGCAGCTGCTCTTTGGGGACTTGTGTACATTAAAGAACTACGGAAATATTTTTGTTTCTTTGTCCTTTTGAAAAGACCCAGGAAATTATATGCAAAAGAGGCTCTAGGTTACTGCAACATGAAAACTGCATAATTAAATACTATCCTCAGGAACTGTGTAAATCCTGTTGGGTACAATCTTTGCTTCACAGTCTAGAAGTTTCACAACCAGCTTAACTGTATCAACAGACTCATATACCTGCATTTCAAGAGGACTCTACTATACTAGAAGACGCATACTTAAAGCTTCTTGCAATATCTCTACTTAAAAAAACAAATTTGCAGTAAACCAAGCAATGTTGCAAAAAGCGGTATTTTAGAGTCTGTGGAAGTCATTCAAAATTTCAGCATCTTAGTGTCTGTTGTTTTTTGATTAGTGATATATCTGACTTTTGAATGTGAAAGTCTATGCTGATAAAAATTGTATGATTGGAACCTGACTATTTTATTGAAAAAAAACCTGATCCAGAATTATTTTTATGATCAGTATTGTATAAACACTTTTTAGTCCAGTGATAACAAGAGGGCTATCCATTCTGTATGAAGATTCAATTCTTTTTAACAGTTACGTTCCTGAATAAAGCAGCACCATTGTTTCATGTTACAGTCTTCTGTGTTCTAACTACACAAACCCCCTCCCTCCTTCAGCTGTATTGAATTATATGTCACAATTCTTATATTGCCTCACTAAAGTAAATAAATTCCAAAGAATAAGCTAAAAAAATCCAGAAGCTTATTACAAAGATTACCGTGTTTAACCAGTCATGTTATTCTCCATCCAGATTAGTTGCACTTCATCTGTATGCCAATTTGAATAATTGAAAAACAGTTTGTGAACTATCACTTGTTTCATCTATGTGCAAATGATGTCATATGATAGTGAAAACCATACCTTTCTGTCACAGCAGTTTATTACTGAGCAATGCAATCTCTTTTATTTTATAATTAATGGAAGTACCAGAATGAGGTAACATTGTAGCAAAACATTAATAAGCATTTGCAAGAGAGTCTACAGCAATATTCACTGTATAGTTACTCACATAAGGAATAACAGATGAAGTAATCTCAAATAGAATTTACTTTGAATTGTAATATATGTAAGTTATTTTTAGCACCATCTACAAAATCTTAACAGGAGAAATCAAGCTAACATTCTTGGATAGCACATTTCACATTCATTGTATTTAAGAAATATACTTTAAGAACACTTGGTTCACGTGATAGCTAATTGAATTGGAATACATCTCAAGGAGGGTCGTGGAAAGAGACGAATGAGAGGAAGGAACAACCACCACTATGAAATGATTTTCACAAAGGGCTACTCCCTGAACATTTGAGACTTCTTCAGACACATCTTCAACTCTACGATGTGACGAAGCAGGATGCAAAGATTTTGTGTATCTGCCTAGAAGTCCCAGACACTTTGCAACCAAGTTGGTCCATTGAAATACTGGTCTGACCAAACTGCACACCCAGAAAACCCAGACAAAACTGTGTACGTGCGCATACCAACGCTTTTAAAAAAAAAGTCGTACTGAACACAGTGTATCTACCACAGTCAATCTACCAATTCAACAGTAAACCTGGACAAAAAGATAGCATCTCTTGTTACACATTAGCACACGCTAAGATGACTGCTGCCTACAGAACACTGCTTACAGGATCTCTAAGTTACTCTCTGAGCTAGCCAGGAAAAGACACAGTCTTCATGATAAGCCACAGCATCTTCTGGACTTCAACCATGCCCAGACTCCAGTTTTACTTCACTGGTCAACTGAAGTATTACTACGAGCCCTTCCAAGAGGTCTTGTTCTGTTTTGGTTTTTTTTTTTTTTTAAAGTGGTGTCAGTTTTCCCAGTAGGAACGTTAACAATTGGAATTTGCAAGTACAAGGATTAATGCTAAGGCTCTAGAAGCAAACTATAAATTTGGTTCAAGATCACGGTAGACAGTAAATGTCCAGTGCCATTTCAAAGCTCCAAACTTTCAAAAAATCTCCACTTGCCTGCTTTACCAATGGCCTCATATGATGCTCTCTAGTTCTTCTCTTAGAAAGAAATAATTGCTCCCTGCTCACTTCATCTTTTCAGTGCTACTTATTACTTTACACACCTCTGTCACGCTCCATTTAATCATCTCATTTCCAGAATGAAATGTCTTAGTATGTTAAATGCTCCTTTTACACAAGCTGGTTCATACCTCTGATAATTCAACTCAACTTTCTTTGTACCCTTCCTAGTTTCACCGTATCTTTTGGGACCAAAACTGCACTCAAGTGTATAAAATGCTAACTAAGAGTTGATGTGATGTATAGAACACCACAATGAGGATTTTGCTCTTAGGTTTTGTTCTCTATTCTTTCTCAGTATTTGATTCTCCTATTGTATCTCTGCTAAGCTATCTAATTAAAGGCTAATCTCAATAAACACAAAGGTCCAGTGAGGATCAGAGAGGGAAGAACCCTCCTGACCTTACCAGTGAAAAGCGAGCACCCCGACTCGGCTGCTCCCTGACTGTGAAAAGAGAATGGATAACTCATTGTCCCTGGGTGAAACCCACTGAGAGGATTCAGCAGGGACATTCTCACCCTGGAAACCCATGCTAGCTAAAGGGGGCTACTAACTACTGGGGTACAGGGGCTCTTACGGGATGCAGGGGAAGAAAATTCTGGGATTATATAGAACTTCCTATGGGGTGTTTTCTGGGGAATGCAGGGGTGTGCACAACTTATTATGGGATGGCTAGGGAAAGGACCAATGGTGAAAGGAGCCAATGGGGAGGAACAAGCAAGGGAAAACAGAGGGAGAAAGGGAATAAAAGGTGTTAGTAGAGCGTGAGCAGACTGCTGGTCCATATGCTTGTATGACTGAGCCCTGCCTTTGATCACCTTGGTAGGTCCAAGACTTATTAAATCCTATCTTTAACTATCTTCTGTGGACATGCACTAGCTATTCCGAGTGTGTGTTTATGAGAATGCTAGCAAACTTCAGGCCCAAACAGCTGGTGGGTAAGACAGGTGGTCTGAGTACCAGCAACTGGAGTGAGACCACAAATCTCAGGGGCTCATAGGCTGACCTGCCAGAAGTGGGGGAGACATGGGCTCTAGGGGACAGCTGTTGGATGGACTGTCAGCATCAAGCACAGCATCAAGGCTTTCTCTTTTTTTCCACTTCACTACCCGCCAGCGTGTAGGCTGGGGGTGGGGAAGAAGCTGGGAGGGGACATGTCAGGACAGCTGAACCCAACTGGCCAAAGGGATATTCCATATGTTGTAACTTCATGCTCAGCAATAAAACTGGGGCAGCAGAAGAAGAAGGGGTGGGGAGGAGGGAGGTGTCTTCCAAGGTGGCTGATGCTTGGAGACTGGCTGGGCATCAGTCTGCTTGTGAGAGGTAGTGAGTGACTAATTGCCTTTGCAACACTTGTTGTTTTCCTCTTTTCTTTACTTAGCTAACTGTCTTTACCTTGATCCGTAAGTTTTCCTGCTTTTGCTCTTCCTATTCTCTCCCCTGACCTGCTGAGGGGTGTTGGGGGGAGTAAGCAGAGTAGAAACATATTAAAAGGCATTAAAAGCAATGTAGGTGTGATAGTACAAACTTTTGTTCATACTCTCAATTCCAGTATGCAGGCTAATGTCATGAATGCACAACGTATGAATTAGATTGATCTTAAATTTTTTGAAAAAGAACATATGAAGAAAATTATGTTCTCAACCGGTCTATGGCAGTGTGCCACAAAGCTTCTTGTGATGTACAGTAAGAAATGCTTATGCATCTACCTACCTCCTTAAAAAATAAACAAAAAATAAAACCCAATTTGGTCTGAGGCAGGAGATTACGTCTTTTTTCAACTTGTTTCTCACTTAAATTTTACAATCTCACTGCTGGCAGCAATTATTAAAACACACTGGCTTACAACAGAAGTTATATGTCATAAATTTGGCTCTTTTTTGTGGACCAGAAGAGTTTACTATGTATGTTTACTCACATTCAGGGAACTGTAGTTTTAAAGTCTACCCAGATTTTTGAAAAACATTTATTTTAATCTTGGAAAATGAAATTCAATTAAACTAATGAAAGCAGCATGAAAAAAACCTGAAAACTCTTTCGTTCCAACCAAACATGAAGACAGCTTGCACAGACACAGAAAAAAATGCGTATATACTAATATTTTCCTTCATTCCAAATATCTAAATAATGAAGTGCATGACTGAAAATGCTTATTAAGCTTGAACTGATGTCAATAATTAGTTTTTCCTTTGATTCTGTATATCATTTCAAAAGCAGGACTACAGCTCATTGAAATGTGAGAATTTTATTGATGCAGTGCTTTATTTATGCACTTTTTCTAAGTTACAGGAACATCAGGCCCCAGTTTTCAAAAACTTGCTTTCAATTTTAAATTGAGTTTTAAAGAAAAAAGATCAGATTTAGTTTGCAATTTAATTTGTCTTGCTAGTACAATGAAAGTAAAGATTACAATGAAAGTAAAGATGCAGAACACCAATGTACTTTTTCATTTTTAACTCATTAAAGCAGAAACAGAAAAGAAAGAAATTACAATAATATTTCAATTTGGACAGAGAGATTTTTAGTCATAGTTAAGAAATAAAGCTTGTAACTTTAAAATGTAGTAAGAAATAACACTTTGCAAATACTCACCATACTTCTTCTAATGTAGTCTATTGCTTTTTTCATATCCATGCCTGACCAGTTATCGAGCATGTAGCAGATGCAGGAAGCACAGTACACAAACCTCATATCATTCTCACTTCCTTCCAGCACTGCACAGAAACTGAAAGAAACATTTCTGTCATTATACACTGAATAGCCTGTTATATCCGAAAATATGAAAAGCAGTTCAAAGAATTGCATAATTTTTCCTTTAAAAATTAGCTACTTCTATTTACAGTATTCACACAAATATAACCCAAAGCTTGCTAGATTTTCTTTTTAGAAGATGTGATTCTAACTAAGCCAAGCAAAATGAATAGAACTACTAACATTTAGGGGCCTCGGTGACTTCATTTCCAGCAATGAAATGACACTGGTCTTTATTTATTCAAAGACATTAATGCCTACAGTCTTTCACCTATCTCAGTATATGCTGATGTATGAGTTACCATTTTAACATTTACCGTTCTAGGCAGAATTCTTTGCCCTCCCAGAAATCTTGGTAGCTCACAAGGCTTTCTTTCCTGACTGCAACTTCAGGATTGGTTTCCCATGTATGTATAAATGTAATTGTTATTACTACCATTTCTAATACAAATAGTGAAAATTACCTTCAATCCAGTTTTTTATTTCTTATGGCTACAATCTTTCCAAACTCTACAAACATTTTAAAGTTGTTGTATCTGGGTTATCTAGGTACAATCCTGTGCTCTCTGAGACCCTTAAAATGAAGGTGGATGCTGTGACTTGCTGCCTGACAAGCCTCCATTTGGTTCAAAGAGCTAGTTAGTATATTCTGATGACTTAACCATTTGCAAGAAGCCAGCACAATAGAGTATTTTAATGAGTCACCCTGACAAATCTCTTTTAAAAAAAGGAGAAAAAAAAAAAAAGTACTTCTGACTTTTAAGCACAACTGTCACCACTATGACACTCCCTCTTTGACTCTGCAATTCAAGTATGTACCCCATTATCTTCTTGCATAGAAAAGCCTCCAACATTTACTGGGAGACATTTTCATCTCTCCTAACCCCAATGGTGCCAGGTCCTGCTCTCTGCAGCTCAGATAGGGATGAACTCCATTGTTCTCTGGATACGGCACAGGACATTCTGGGAAACCAGGACGCTTCTTAACATGTGCCTGTTCTGTGGTTTACAATCTCGCCCCATCGTCGGGTGACAACTGCACCGTATGTTATCCAGATACTTCAAATCACATTCAGCTAAGGTAAGGTAGAAATTAAAATATGCACATTTATTCACATTGTAAAAAGAGACAATATAATTTCAATTTATTTAGTTAGTCAGTTAGTTTTTGTTTCTTCACACTTGTCTTTTATTAACTAAGACTAGTATACTTATACTAACACCACAA